AAGACCTCCAAGTTTTGTCAAAATATGATCCCAATTTTCTTGAGTGTTTATTTGCAGTGGACTATCAAAATTCTTATAATGATTTTTAAATTGTTTTTATTTAATTTCGATTAATCCTAAAATCATTTTAAGCTGAAAGTGCATATAAACGCTTTCGATAGCGATACCCATAATAGATTTGCCCACAATAACATTCTCTGCTTCTCCTCTTCTGTCTTCATAAGTAAAAAAGTGTATCTCATTGTAAGCAATATTTTTTTCATTGTAAAAATATTGCCGTTAACACGGTAGAAATCTGCACATAGGTGTCAAAAATAGATAAACGAGTCAGCTGTGCCACATTTCTAAAAAACTGGGTTTGGGTCTTCGATTACAAAACCATTACAGTGTCTTTCAGGTAAAATTAACAGCAGTCCGCTACGCGGTAAAATGGGTCCTGGGTAACCGGATTCTCGGTGTAAATATCGTAATCTTTTCGGTCAGCCAAGCTGCCTACAAATCTCTGGTAGACAATACAGCGACATCCCTAACAATTTGAGAACTCAAGGTTTCTCTTGACTATTCTTGGCAAATAGTTTTTCGACAAGCATTTGCACCAAAGTATCTTTAGTTGCCCCGTTTCCATAAAAATAATAATAAACATTTCATTATTATTTAATTTCTAAAATTGTTTTTCAACATACTAGGTGGAGGAACATAGGTATACCCGGCATAAGCAATAAAAACGTTTTTTGTGGAAAATTATATTTTATGCTTCAATATAATCCCATTTTATTCCGACACAACGATCTTTCAATATTTGGACACATTTTGATAATACGATTTATTAAGTCCTTCAAATTATATCTCAGTTTCCTATTCCACTTCATCATTTGATACAAATCTATTTACCTGCAGTCATCTTTTCATGTTTCGAAACAGGTAATAGTCACTTGGAGCCAAATCTGAAGAATACGGTGGGTGAGGAAGCAATTCGTATTATAAGTCATTTAACTTTGCTATGATTTTCATAGACGTGTAAGCAGATGCATTATTCTGCAAAAATAACTTTTTATTCATTTAAAAATGTGATCGACCAATAATATAAAATCGATGCAATAATATAAAATAGTAGTCTAATGTTATTGGTTTTCCTTTTTCCTAGTAGTCTATGAAATTTAATCCACTTGAATCCCAAAATAAGAAGAGCAAAACTTTTCAAACTTATTGTTGAGCTCGTGGTCATTTGGAAAGCATTACTTCCGTGCTCTATCCATTCTCTAGCTTGTTATTTTCCCTCAATTGTAAAGTAAGGAATCCATCTTTCATCAATTGTCACTACCTGACAATTCACACTCACAATCAACTTGAATGCGCATAAACATTTCTAAACAATGTTTTGAATGACGAAATCATAGTCGTTTTTGATTAATTGTGAGCAAATGTGACACCTAACGAGCCGAAAGCTTTTTTGTACCCACATATTCATGAAAGATATTCAACACATATTCCTATGATATGTTTGTCATCTCCGCTATCTGCTTTCTTACGCAATTTAATTTTTGGATCAACCAACCACAATCCACAATATCGTGGATTTTTTCAATATTTTTTTCAGTTATGATCTCTATTGCACGACCCGGACGGTCTTCATTAAAAACACTTGTTTGACCACGTTGAAATTCAGCTCTCCAATATTTTATTTTTGTTAACAATAGTGCATTGTTTACGTAAACAGATTTATATCTGAAGACCTCCGATAAAAGATGGATGGATGCTGTAGGGTCAGTCAATCAAATATAAAAATCAAATAATTGCAATTCATAAACATTTTTTTGTTGTCTGGATTAATTTTGGGTTGGTCCTTCTATTTAAAAAATTGTGTCTGTTGTCAAAAGTAAGTACCTTCTGCTCAAAAAGTATCCGGATTTTGTTGTTTGTTATGTTTGTACACTCTTTCTTGATATATGGTACAAATTTGAGCGCCATTTGTCAATTTGTTTGTTTACAGCAGCTGTTAGTGAGAGACAACCTCAAGTGCATTTAACAATTTTTAATATGGAAAATTCTTTGACCAAACACTGCACCGACGCCACTATCATCGCTCAGGCACCATATTTGCCAGATCTGGATCCGTGCGACTTTTTCCTGTTCACGAAACTCAGATTGCCCCTTCGTGGTAAGCGTTTTGAGTCGATTGAATCGGTAAAAGAGAATGCGCTGAAGGAACTAAAAGTCATACCTTGACGGGCCTACGAAGAGTGTATGGAAGATTGGGTTAAGCGTTGGCATATGTGTATCAGAAGGAGTTCTTATTTAGAAAGAGATAAAATTAATTTGGAATAATATTTAAATGTGTGTATTTTATTTACAAAATTCGAGTACTTTTTGAGCAGAAGGTATAAACTTTAGGTTAAATTAAAACACAATTCGATATTAAAAATTATTTATTATTATTGTTGAAAAACTCACAATACAAATACATACACTTAGGAGGCCTTATGACTGATGTTTTTTTAAAAGAATAAAAATATTTTTTTTATAAAAAACTATTTTAAAACAGTATTATTATGGTATAGTAAAATTATTATTTTTTTATTATCTTACAGCCAGTAAAAAATAAACTCATTATGAACTTCATTTAACTACAATTCTTTTTTATTTATACTGTAAAATATAATTTAAGTTTATATTAGCAAATTTAAGATAATAAGACAATATTTACTTTTATAAAAATATTTTTTTAAAGCAATTTTTACTTAATAAAAGCCTGGCTGTATTAAGGCCAGGCAACTTTAAATTTATTGTGTATTATTTATAGGAAATAAAAAGTTATACATATTTAATACAAACCACAATTATAAAATTAAAAAATTATTATATTAAAAAATTAAATTATTAATAATCGTATGAATTAATTAAATCTTAACTAATTTTTAATATAATTCAAAATTTAAAACTAAATTAAGTAATGGAAAAATTTAAAGGAAAATATATGCTATAAACTTATCATAACTTATACGTTTATTTCATTTTAAAATTTATTTAATTTAATTTGCAAAATTAGTTTTTTTTTCTCATTTTAATAGTCGTTCAATTATTGTCGCTACTGGCAATAAATGAACAAGTTTTTTGAATAAATAAAATTTAAAGACTCTCCTCACTATCGGACACTTAAATATATTATGAAAATATAAAAAAATAATTATAATTAATAATTAATAAAATAAATTAAATTTGTATTTATAAAAAGTACGCATCATTAAAAACTGCATTCTATTTATATGATTCAAATTTTTTAATCAATATATACTTTTTGTTATTTAAGATAAATAAGGAGGAATAGAGCATGACGTGCTTTATGACTACAATTGTGAGAGGTAAGGAGTGAAATGTGATTATAATTTCAAGGGTTAAGTTCGTAAGTCTTGACTAACTTAAATAAATATAAAAAAATAGTAATATTTCCTGCAAGTTGTAGGCAAATGTCCTACAACCTTTTGATATAAAAATCGATAGATACATATTTTATTTAAAATATTGTGTTTTTTTAGTACATTATCTACTTATTTAAAACCATATTAATTGTTATTATATTAGTTAAGAAAGATATGCATGCCGGAGAATTTTTTATTTATCTCAGCAGTTAAATTTAGACATTTTGATCACTTAACAAACTAACAGGAGTAATAAAGATATATTAAACCTTCAAGAAATTACAAGCACCCTCATACAGTTTTAGGACTAATCAACTTACTGCAAATCCGATTCACTGTTTTTTTCTATTTAAATATTTAAAATATATTTTTAATTACAATATTTTATTCTCCTAATTTATGTATAAAAATAATTTGTGTATAGATAATATTGTATCGTATTTATACGCTCTTTTATGGTTATTCTGTAAATCAAAAGGAAAAAAATACTGTCCCGAAAAGACTGGCAAAGTTTATTTTATCTATCTAAAAGTGCAATAACTGAAAGCGAAAGTAATGTCAATAAATAATATAAAATAATTAACTTTGTTATCCAAAGAAACTTATTAAAGACCAATTAATTTTTTCTATAATAAAGGGTTATCAATTTCAGCGTCAAATAAACTTATTAAAGATTAATTTTTATTATAATAAAGGGTTATCCATTTCAGCTTCCTGATATGGCAACAATGTTTCTGTGATATATATCATACACAGCTACCATCTAAAACATCATGCATTTAGTTTGAAGTTTGCTAATTAACAATATATATCGTTTAGCAACCGCTGAACGTGTAAATACTGCAGAAACATATTATAAGAAGACGGTTGAGGCTAAGTTTTCGCTTGGTGGTTATGTCAGTAGCCAAAATATCAGTAGCCAACTGGCGCAGTGAAAATCCATGAAATTAACTATTCAGAGAATATAACACTTTCCAAAAGTCATTGTATGCTATGACATCCCAACTGAATGTGTAAGGTACCCGTATTTTTTACTATTAAGCACACTTGAAAAATTTTTACAGCTTATAGTAAACTATACATATCCAAAAATATAATAATATAATGATTTAATTTTGAAATACAAATCTTTTCTATTTACATTCACTTTTAAAAAAATGGATAACCATGAATGTACTTAAATGATTTTATAAAGAAGATGTTTTTTAATGAGATATAAATAAAATAATAAATAAATATTTAAAAAAAATTCATATAATTTAAAAATAATTATAATTAGTTCTTATTTGTATTTAAAAAAATTACAATCTTATTTTTTTTTTGCGACTTCGCATCTCTTCTACTTTAAATTCTTCACTCTTGTGAATACAAATTTCGATTAAAGTTAACTTAACATTGTTTTAGCGGGATATCCCTTTTCTAATTAGAGAAATCTCAACAGATAAGATGGTCTTTAATAATAAAGGTTAAAACTATATATTCAATATTAAAAATAATTCATAATTCTAATGCAGAAAACTATGGACCTTGAGTGGTCCATAAACACTAAAGTCAATGAAAAACACTACGCTAACATAGAGCTTTACAGAATAACATAGCGCTAAATCAAGTATTTATTAATAATTATGTTTTATAATATATATTGTAGTATCTCATGTGCTATTATAGTAGTATCTCTTATTGCTATATTTAAAGATGTTAAAGGTATGTAACTGGAGTTGATTAATCACATTGCTTTCATATAATATACGACTTAAACTAAAAGCAGTAGGTAGGAGAAAGCATTGTTACTAATATATGTTAGTTGTGGCAATTATTACTTAAATAAGTATTTTCATACTCTATTTACATTCTCTCCTATAAGATATATATCTTATTAATTTCTTTCTTTTTAATTTGCTGTTACTCTTATGCCGCCTTTGACAACTGCTTCTGCTGGCGGAAATCTACGACTTTGGTTAACATTGCTTTTGCGAGTGTTACTAATGTGTCCACTGGAACTCGAACTGGTGATAATACTACTGCTGATAGCACTCGGCGTGCCGCTGTCACTATTGCTGCGTTGTGTTTCCTCCAACGGCTTATATGTGCGTATACCAGAATTAGAGCGTACCGGCAACAGGGTTACAAGTTTAGGTGCAGTTTCAGTAGTGGAGGCCTCAGCGAAATGTGATGATTTCAACATTTCCTCATACTTTGTAGGATCGATTACTTCAACCTCTGCTTCACCGACTACGGGAATTGCTGCGCCGATTCCTTCAGATGAGTTGTCTTCCATAAAACTCGACATCGGCCGAATGAAAGGCTCCCTTTGCTTGACAAGCGTATCAGTCAATTGTTTACCAGTTGTTGTGGTGAATGGAGTAGTTTGTGTTGTCTTTGTAGTTGATTTTATGGTTGGCTTGATTCTGGTATCATTTTTTAATGTTTGCTTTAATTTATTTTGCGAGAATGGTGGCACCTTTGTTTGCTCACTTGGTGTGAATCCCAACTTCGAGGCTAGAGTGTCGAAAATAAGTGAAATATCTTGTATATTACTAGCGTTATTAATGCGTGTCTTTATGTCGTTAAGTGTAATATTTTCAGTTTTGCCAACATCTTCGGAAACCCAAGCTTGTAGTGTTTTATTAAATACCTTACGCACGTTACCGGCTTGACCGAAGCTATTTATGTTGGTATTATTTACGAACTCCCATTTTGAATGCGATGGAAAAAGACTAGAATCATCTAGAATGGTCGGTGGTTTCTTGTGTGTTGGGCGTACTCGATTTCGTTTTGTTGCTGGTGTTTTAGTAACAGCTACAGTAGGGGTAGTGGAACTAACAGATGTAGTTGTAGAATTCATTTCAAATTTATTTTGATTTACTCCTTGGTTAGTGGCAAGTCCAGCCTGATTTCGTTGTAAAATTATTTCCTTTAAATTTAAGAAATTTGGTTTTTTGACTGTAGTATTCTTGTCTTCAATTTTTTCTAATGGAGCTACTGTAACATTCTCTTCCGGTACAATTCTTGATTCTATTGCTTGCATTGTAGTAGAATTAATATCTTCTTTAGGTAAATTTAATAAATCCATAAAAAATTGGCCAATTGTGTCTGCTAGCTCAGAATTTGCTGTTGGTTGGTCCACAAGTTGTTCTTTCGACTCACTTAACTGTAGGTCTTCATCGTCCTTAATATTATTAACAGGTTTCAAAGAACTTGTTTCAATTGTTATATCTTTTATGGTCGTGACTTCTGTAGAAATTGCAAGATTGACAGCTTTAGTTGTATTATCTTGTTTTTTTGCTATAACTCCACCCCCTAAATGTTCGAACTTCTTATTGCTTTCATTAATAAAAGGTAAATCGTCATTTGCGACTACTGCATTTAATGGCTTGAATGGTGGAATTACTACATCATCAATTAGTGGTACCGGAAGTGGATGTGGTTGAACATGTGCACCAGCGCCTAATCGTTCAATACCTTCAGCACCAGGCATAAAGACAGGGTTTCCAAAACTATGATAAAACATCATATCTTGTGGGTTCGTATTTTCAGCACTAGAATCTGGTTTACGCAATGTTGTGGCGAAGAAAGTTGGCGAGTAAGGATCGAATGCTGCTTGAATAGCAGAAGATGGATTTTCAAGAGCGACGGACAAATCTATATCATCAATTCGGCGTTGAGGCGCATCTTTCGAAATAGATGATACAGAGGGCAGTGTAGGCATCGTTAATGTTGGTAATGTTTTTGTTGGGAATGCAGGAGGTGGACCAGGTAAAAGTTCGGGTACTTCTCTATGAATTGGCTTCCAAGGTTGAGTATCCAGAATTGGTATAGATGTGAATAAATTTGTATCCAATTTCGGCACATTGAAAGTGGTAGAAGGTGTTGTTATTGCAGGGAAATTAAATTCATTCGAGAAAATACTTTTCAATGTACTAGCCGCATGTGTTGTCGAAGTTGTTGTTGGTTTTGTAGTGGTGGTACTTGTTGTAGACGTAGTTGTCGTAGATGCATGGGTTGGTTTTTCAGTAGTCGTAGTTTTTTTAGTTGTACGTGGTCGAGGTGTTGTAGTGGTTGTACTTGTTGTTGTTGTAGTAGTAGAAGCCGTAGTACTAGTACTAGATGGTGTTGTTGTGGTTGTTGTAGTCGTCGTTGTCGTTGTCGTTGTGGTCGTTGGCTTAGTTTGCTGATGTTGCGGTATAATTGTGGTTAATTTTTCTATTGAGGGTTTTTTTGGTTTCACTCGTAGAGGAAATGGTGTAATAGCTTTTGGTGGTAAGCTGCTGTATGCTTTTGTTGGTGTAACCTTCTTACGTGATATATCCGCATCGGTTTTCGTTATTTCGAAAGAACCTTCAAATGAACCTTGAATGACCGGTGCATTTTCTACATCAATATCAGGTTCATCATCAACTGCATGTGGACGTTGAGTTATGCGTGGTTTTGCAGTTGTTGCAGATTTCGACATTAAACTGGGATTATTACCATTTTTCTTCATTAAACGTTTCTCCAATTGTGTTTGACTGGTTGGTACCGCCTGCTTAAAAATTTTCGATTAAAAGTAGAAATTTTAAATAAATTTTATATTTTTACCGCTTCTTTAAACAATGATGCTGACTTAACTATTTGCTCATCTAAAATGCGTTTGATTTCCACAGATTCTGCATCAATACGCAATGAACGATAAAGGGATTTAGTGGCCGTCGTTTCTAAAAATAATGATTCCTTAATGTAGTCCTCAACGCTATGTATGTGCCTATAAATTACATATTTAGAAAATATCTGTTATTCAAGAAAATGAGGAGTTGTTTGTAAAAATAGTTATATAATGAAAATGTATATATATAATGTAATATAATGTAAATTACATAAATAGTTAAAAGAAAAAAAATAGGTTAACAGCATTAAAAGTGACACTTAAACAACACAAAAGAAATCTCTTTGTCGACTTTGTTATTTATTATATGTAATCTAGACATATCCCAAATCACGACTTAAGTAGACTTTTTTCATAATTTTGATTGAATAAAATAATTTTAAGTCTAAGTTCTTGGTTCTCAAAATTTCAGATCCCAGATAATTGATTTCACATTTAGCTGTAACACGACAAGTGCAAACTATGAATCTACAACTTTTATATGGTATAGGTGGTATCACAATTTGTGCCTAAGTAGCCTTTGGTGTGCAAGACGGCTACCCCATCCTAACGTAACGTAACCTAACGTAACTCCTTAATTATGGAGTTTGAAATGCTGTTCCAAATTAATGAACCCAACTAGTTCTAGTATATATTAAACTTTACAACATATTTCAGAAATATATCACTTTTATATATTTTGCAAGCAAAAAAAAAAAATAATGCTTCTGTATGTCATAAAAGTGCAACATATATTTTTTGATGTTACACCATCAAATTGTAAGTTAAAAACAATTATTTTAAATTTTATGGAATAATAATCAATTATACATTAAGACTGAAAAGTTTTCGGAAATTCTCATTTAAAATTCGCGCGCTGTATATTTTTCGATATTTTAAGTTTATGTAGTTTGGCAGCCCTGTCCTTAATTACTATGCCAAAAATGAGCGCGATCTGTCAGACAGTTCGTTTACGGCAGCTGTTGAAACCAGTTCACCTCAGTAGTGCGTTGCGAAATGTCTTCGACGGTCGTACGACCGTCCTGAAAGGCTTTGTACCACTCATAAACTTGAGTTTTCGATAAAACTGATTCCCCATAAGCCTTTTGTAGCATTCGCAACGATTCTGCACACGAAATTCGTTCGAAACACAAAATTTGATGCAAACTCTTTGTTCAATATTTTTTTCCATTGTTTTTTTCGCAACGCACTACTGAGGTGAACTGGTTTCAACAGCTGCCGTAAACGAACTGTCTGACAGATCGCGCTCATTTTTGGCATAGTAATTAAGCTTAATTGCTGCCAAACTACATAAACTTAAAATATCGAAAAATATACAGCGCGCGAATTTTAAATGAAAATTTCCGAAAACTTTTCGGTCTTAATGTATTCATTCCAAAAAAAGGTAGCCAATTCTTTAGGTTGTCATATTGATCATCATCAATGACATTCTCCACAGAAAGAACGGAAGCATTCCCCAAAAGTTATTAAAAAGTTATTAATTTGAATATATTAACTCTACTGACGACATTTGATCAGTTTATGTTCATTATAACGATAAATGATATGGTGAACAGGCGAACGATAGCATCATATGTAATTCAAGTCCTCAAATCGAAAAGATTAGACTTAATAAATTGTGCAGACACCAAGAACGCAAATCCAAATTACAAGAGCATGTCTGGAAATGGTAACATAAAAAACTGCCTCCTGGAAGTAATGCGAAAACGATTATGGGGGAAATAAGTCTCACCGAAGAGAAGGTGTTTTAGTCCGTATACTATATACTAATGTTAAGGAGTCGAGCTCATCATTCCGACGGCGGTGTGTCTGACGGTGCATAAAGCATTCGACTTTCTCACTACAAAAAAAAACAATATGTGATATGGTTAAGAAATCAACTAAATATCGTTTTAAAGTAAGTTTTTATTTTTACGCAGCAAAGAAACATCTGGAACTACAACTTCTTGTCGCCTACAACGAAGATCCAGATACAAGTTTTTATAACTCATTTGAAGTCTTCATCGCATTTAGAAATTATATTTATTTAACCATATACGCATATAAGACTCTATGAGCTATATGGGCTTAAAAATGTTATTTCATTTGAAGTTAGTCCACAAATTGTTCTAAATATAAGAGTGTCTATAAATAAGAGTGTTGAGATCCTTTTTATTATAATAACAGCTAAACGTACTATTTAAATATAATTATCATGTATGCCTCAAAGACTGTTGAATATAGATGCTCTTCTTGTTCTAAATAGTCTCTATAAATAAGAGTGTTGAGATCCTTTTTATTATAATAACAGCTAAACGTACTATTTAAATATAATTATCATGTATGCCTCAAAGACTGTTGAATATAGATGCTCTTCATATATAACTGATTCAGCAAGATACGTTTGGATTCCGATTTACAGGGGTCCCATTTGACAACGAGTTTTAGTGAATTTAGAGGGGATTATATGAAATCAGGGAAAATGTATTTGAATGTCTATTGATTTGGGTCATACTAAGCAACCTACGACTTGGTGTTGCTTTCTTTTCAACTATTTTGTTAATTTGTATTAAGTACAAATCACCACAATTTATTTATTTTATTTTAATTATTTATTCGTATATAAAGTACTTACTGTGGTAGTTTTCTCACATCCAGAAATGTTCTAAAAAATACTTTTATTAGAGGTCCATCACCAAACCCCCAAATGTCAGTTCGTATCGGTTGTAAGCCATTATCTGTAAGCGCACGCTCCATAAAACGTTTATAAAATTCGATTTTTTGCTTATAAGCTGTCGTATGATTATTTTTTAATCCAGTCGAAAAAAGATCACCTTTTGCAATTCGAAAGGAGCCTTCGAACCCCAATACAGCTGTTAAAAGAAAAATAAAGCCTTAAAAACAAATACGTAGGAAAAAGCATATGCATCTTACGATCTTCTACATTCGATTTAATCGAACTGAAATAGAAAGCCAATCCGGCTATCGATATAACTGCCAAGAGAACGATAAATGCAGCTGTTGTAAGTATAATTGAAAAAGAGCGTGTCTTCTGATAGTGCGTATGCGTTTTAGCAGAAAACGTGGAAGGGGCTATATTACGACCATCACGCCAAATGCCCCACGTATTGTACCCATATTGACTATTAAGACTGTGCTCATTTGTATAGGAAGGTTGTTTGTTCATGTGATAATAAGCACCAAGCGTCGACCTTCTACCCAAAGTATTTTGGTATGTGTAGTCGTTGACCTAAAAAAAAAATATATGTAATTATTAGAAGTGAGTTGAATTGTTTTAATGTATTCAATTTATAAGAATCGCATAGAAAGTAAATAGTAGTTTAGCAAATGAAATGAAAATTTAAAATGAATATTATCTATCTTTAGATAAATACTTCACTCAATAATTTTTCAAAGTTCAGAGTTCAATATAAATAGTAAATAAATCAAATCATAAATAGTAATATAAAAGTAAACAGTATTTAGTATTTCTACTTAAATTAAATTTCAATATTCATTTGATTTTAGTTTGGAACTTAATACTCAATAAATTTATTGGATGCTAAATAAATTGACAATTTTTGACCAAAATTCTGCTTAATTCAGAGATACATTATGTAGTCTCCTTTAAGAGTGCTTTCCCACAATCCTCGCAATAGGTTGCATGGATTGTAGAGCGATTTATCTTTGGTCTCAAAACGGGCCTATTTCGGCAATCACTTCTTCATTGGTTCTAAACTTATTTTTCTTAGCATATTTTTTTTGATATGCGAGCAGAGAGTATTCGCTGAAGAGTACAACCAGCGAATACAGTGTATGGGAAAGCAATTCAAAGTATAATTCGTGTAATTTGGCTACCATTGATTAGTTAGATTCAATAGAATTATTTGCAGTAAAAGATTATTGTGTACAAGTTATGTCAAAACGCTGTAAATATGAGTGAATTTTTTATTTAAGTATATCAGTTTTTCCTATCGTGTGCTCACAGTCATTATCATTACTCTATGGAAGACTATTCACCATTGAATTCTGCATGCTTGAGTCTTTGAATTTTTTGTTTTATAGATGCTCTATACTAAAGTCCAACAGAAAATGAAGTCTATTAAAATAAATTATAATCGTTGTTACCTTTTCTTCATTCTTGCCAAATTACCTTAAGATGCCAACGTATCTAGAAGAAGAACTTGACGCGGCACAGACCGCAAAACCAAAAGCGCTGGATATGCCAAAGAAGGTCAAACAAGTCAATTGTAAGCTTAAAAACGGGTTTGATTGTCCAATTCGTGAGCTTAAGGCTTCATCCATTAACTAACCACACATCAAAGTATATGCCTTTGCAGAAGCCAAATTGATGCTTGCAGATACTTTTAAGTACATGATAGGCCATTAACCGGTTCCAACCAGTTTTTAATAGTATAAAAAATCTAACAAAACAATGTGTGTTCCATTCCTTGATTGCTAACTGATTATAAAGTCGCGTCAAAATTTCGCAGATTGCCTATCAATTTTAAACGAAAACTTATTGTTGAGCCAAATTATTCATTTAAGGTATAGAAAAAGATAAAATCTTTTAATATTTCGAGCAGAAGAATTTGCAAAAATGCATCCATTCGTACAACATGAAGTTGTGTTTCAGTCATTAAATCGAAATAAAAACTTGGTACTGAAGCTAGAATAAATTTCTAATTAAATGATTATAGACTAATTTTCCACATAGACAAAAAAAAAATTAGCAATTATAATAGGAATTTTAGCAAGGCATTGTTGGTTGAATCACCACCTAAATAAAGTGGGAATGCTTCCGATTCTTTACAGGTTCTGCAAAGAGGAAGTCTTAGAAGAATGCTTATGCACTAATGCATTAACGTAAGAAGGGCTAAAGAGTACATTTCACTATTGCAAAAAAGTACAAATACAACTTCTTATTGAAATGATAGGATTTAGAGTAAGTCACTTCTAATCCATGTAGAGGCAAATTTCGCATTTCACTTATGTATATACACGCTTAAATGGATGGAAGCGAAAACATCACTTAAATATATGCATGATTTGATTTTCTAGTATATTTGTTATTTTTTTCTGGGACTTATATAAAATAATGTAGACTTGTTTGATCTGTAATAGTAAGCGACGACAACGATTGCTGACAATAATAGTTGATAAGTAATAGGCTAAAGGACCTGTTCTCTAACAAAATTTTCTCCAAAATAATTTTTTTTCAAATTTATTTAAATACGCATTTTTTCTCCTTACATAAAACGCAAATTGACTTTACTTTAGTCATCTACTGTAATAAGTGTTCTATTGTGATAAAATGTGATGAAGTTGTTCAGGTGATTTTATATAAGTGTTGTTTGGGTCCTAGTATATCTTCCTGAAAAAATATATTACACTAGATTAAGTAATGGAAGTGTTATCTACTACACACAGGTATATCTATAAAACTGCCACTGTCAACTACGTGAAATTCATACGAATGATAGCTGTTTATATTAATTACAAGCCACCAGAAGTATTTGGTTCTAAGTTTTATGGAACAAAAGTTATTTGAAATGGAAATCACATGTAATAGTGTGATTGGGTTATATTTGATTGGAAAATCACAATCAGCTCAACCACTTCAAAGGGAATTAAATAGTTGTGTATGTATTATGAATCGTTATGGTGGTGGACGTGAAAAATACCTGAAATAGTTTGGATAGAGTAGGCTCAACTTAAACGAAATCCACGTTGTATTGGCAATCAAATGTCCAAAGATCTGAAAATATCCTAGCGGAACATCCAACGCTTATTCTAAAATGAACTCAAGGAATAAAACCTTACAAGTTTCAAAAGGCACAAGATCTTTCACCAAAGCAACAAAAAGTTAGACTCGAAAGAATAAAGAAGTTGTTGTATTTCCTAACACTGTGTTCTGTGATGAGAACAATTCCCCCATTGACCAGTTCATAAACTCTGACTGCTCAAAATGATCATGTTTACTTAGCTGAATGCACTGCCGAAAATTTGACACTACGAATAGGCATCTCTTCGATGGAAGAAATTTTCCATCTCAAGTAACGGTATGAGCATTGGACAGCTGTGACAGCAGATGGACGCCTACCAATCATTTTCATCGATCCTGGTGCCAAGTTCAATGCGATTTATTATAAGGAAAATGTTTTGAAAGTTGACAAAAAAATAATAATAATGACAAAAAATAATATTCCACACTTAATATTCATTCACACAATGGTTTTCGAATTCACCAGATACAAATCCGATGGACTATTCCATCTGAACCATTTTGGAGAAGTGAAGAGCAAGGTGAGGACTAAAAAGTATGCCAATACGAATGCGCTGAAAAAAGCCATTGTTGAGGAATGAAGCAATGGGTCAAAATACCCGAAGAACACATACGTGAAGCATGCAACTCATTTTTTAACCGATTGAAGGCCGTAGTCAAGACAAAAGGTAGCCACATCGAGCTAGAATGATTGGATTCTGAAATTTTGATGAATTTTAAAAATTTTTGTGATTTGAATCAAGAAAAAATAATTTAATAATAAAAAGTTATGGCCACTTGAATGGGTAATACTTTAATCACTTAACTCTGTATATTGCATTTGTTTTAAGAAAGTGCGAGTCTGAATGAGTGTAAGCATCCACAGAATTAAACAATTTCAGCGTTTTGTCTTTGATGTACTTTTACACACTCTTGATTTGCAAGCTATTATATAGGTGTTAATTTTTGATATGCCATGGTGCTTTGAACACACATTTCAACACTGTCTCCAAACGCTATCTCCAAAAACATAAAACTATAAAAGACACAACCATATAGTAGTTTAAGTCAAATTATTTGCTTGTAAAGTAGGGTTCTGTTTTTTACGCTCAACTTTTCTTGTTATTACCATATGTATATATGATTATAATAATTACGCAGACAGTGTTCTCTTTCAGTGTTCTTCCGCAAAATTTCAGATATTTTTTTTGCAAATAATTTAAAAAAAATTATGTTATAATTAATTGTAATCATAGTAATTGTTGATGACTATTTACAAACTTTTTTTGTGGCACTGCTTACTCCATGCTTACTACACTCTAAATTTTGTACTATGGATATACGTATCCATACTGATGAGTTTATCGATTAAATAGATATATATGCACACACATATGTACTCTAAATGAAAACTGGAATATCTATTTTTAATGTTCCTTTGGAGCAAAGGGATAACATGAACAGAGAAAAAACATGCTCTGCTTCAACAGCATTCCTTGTTATTTTTAACAACCATGTAATTACTTTGCCATTATTATCTTCTTTTTTATTCATTGAAATATACATTAAATCGACTAGGACATTACGCTTAAAAGTGCTTAAAAACGCTCCCCAATGATACATCAACATAATCATTGTGCATGTGTACCAAGTTGTTGGCTCCAACGTCTTCGTGGGAAGCAAAGCAATAGTAGCGTGAAGAAGAGTTACTGCCATTTCATACATCATTACTTTTATATCTAGATTTTTTTTGTTGTTATTAGATTTAAAAGATTTTAAGGTAAGAAAAAGTATGTTGTAACGATTTGCCATGTTAATTTCTAATTATATCTAAATACGAGTAAGTACATATATACACTAAACGTATGTTAAAAGAACAGATGTGACTACTCTTGTGCCTTTCCGTTGCCCATTACTTGCAGCAATTTTAAGCAATAATAAAGTTTCAAAGCAAACATAAAAAAAAAACAAAATAAAATAATTTTATTATTAAGTGAAAAAATCTTTTCAAAGACGAATAAAACGAATTTCTTATGATTTGTGATAGCGCATAATAGATACATTACCCCTCCCACCAAAGTTGTTCCAGCATCTTCTTAAATCCGCACTTACTAGCACCTATGCGGATTGTGCAGTTCATTCATTTCGCACAGTTTAATTGTTTTGTTCCAGCAGAAGTGAAGGCATGCGTTATGACAAACAAGCATGCAGAATGCATGATGCGGCATGCACCATGCTCCAAGCTCCATGCTCCATGCTCCATGCAGCATCACCATGTTAAGCATTTTTTTCTTATACGAGATCTTTATAGCAGATGTGAACGTTCAAAATATGTTTATGATTACTACTGTGGTTGCATAACTATCACATGGAAACACTCGTGCGGACACATAGACAATTTACAAAACTCCATTATATGAGCAGAACGTCATTATGAGCAATTTGAACATAATTAACATAATAAACGTAATTTTTGCTTAGTTGCA